TGCAAAAAAAAATTTGAAACTGCTGCTGTACCGTGGGTAGGTACAGAAAAAGAAATGATGAGAATATTCTTTTTTTTTTTTAAGATTTTATTTATTTATTTGACAGAGAGAGAACATGAGCGCACAAGCATGGGGAGCAGCAGGCAGAGGCAGAGGGAGAAGCAGGCTTCCCGCTGAGTGGGGAGTCTGATGCAGGGCTTGAACCCAGGACCCTGGATCATGACCTGAGCCAAAGGCAGAGGCTTAACCAACTGAGCCACGCAAAGCACCCTGAAAATAGATATTCTTGAGGACTAAGACTGCCGACTTGGAAAGAGGTTGAATGGTTGGAAGCTTTAATCTGTGATGGTGGTTCTCTAAAAGAAGCTTAATTTTATGTAAATAGCAGTAACATGAAATATGTAGCTTCATTTAATTGAAAAAAGGCCAAAAATTTAGTTATTTCTTTTTTTACTAACAAGAAATAAGAAAGGGAAACCAGTTTTAACCATTGTATACAGAAGGGATTTTGTAGATGATAACATAATGCCTAAGACGAGAAATGAGAGCTCCATGTGGCATTCTTTTTCATTTATATTCCTTTCAGTAACGACATAGAATCTGTTCCCTACATCTATTTCATTAGAATTTTTGAAGCACCTGTCACCTATCATCGTCAGTTTATATGTATTTCAAGTTTTCCTGATGAGCAAATGTAGTAATGCAGGGTCCATATGTCCACATGTCTGGGAGGGGAGAGTCCACGTGGTTTTTGGATTACCTGTCTGGACTCCCTTTCCCATTTATTGTTTGGAGTATGTCACCTTCTGTCAATCTAATTACTTCTCTAAGAAACGGCTGCGCTCAGCTCACTGCATGACAATCGCTGCCTTGTGAAAACATCCCAGAAGCCTGTGCCATCAATTGATCTACCCCAAAAGTGTCACTCTCACGTGGAAAGTTGAATTCGGTATACAGACTCACTCAAGATTTACAGAGTTCTCTGAGGGAAGAGTTTCTTCAGATATGGAGCAGGAGAAGCTGGTTTCAGTAGATCTCTTGCCTTCTCTTGACATACAGAATCCATCTTTTCACAACACAGTCAGCTGAGAGACACTTACAATATATGCAGCCAGGACTTCCAGCCCCTGCAAAAAAATAATGATTTAAGTGCCTGCATTCCCTGACCAGTAACATTCGTAAAACATCAGAGAAGCTTTCAAAGGCCAGGGGCAGAGATTTTGATTTTTTTCTAGAAAAAGGCCTGAAGGAATAATCTTTATTTATCCAGCTAACAGTCCTTTTTTTTTTTTTAAGATTTTATTTATTTATTTGATAGAGGTCACAAGTAGGCAGAGAGAGAGGGAGAAGCAAACTCCCTGCTGAGCAGAGAGCCTGACGCGGGGCTCGATCCCAGAACCCTGGGATCATGATCCCAGCCAAAGGCAGAGGCTTTAACCCACTGAGCCACCCAGGCGCCCCCTAACAGTCCCTTTAATTTATACTGACTGTTTATCACTATGATAAAGACAGACTTGGCAGATCTAACAGTAATTCCTTTGTCATCCTTAAACAACTGTAGATTTTTAATATAATAAAGATAAGAGTTCCACATGCACACGATAGTATTTAAGTTTATGCCATCACATCCATCTTCAGAGCCTTATATTTCTTTTTTTTTTTTTTTTAAGATTTTATTTTTTATTTATTTATTTGACAGAGAGAGAGATCACAAGTAGACAGAGAGGCAGGCAGAGAGAGAGAGAGAGGGAAGCAGGCTTCCTGCTGAGCAGAGAGCCCGATGTGGGACTCAATCCCAGGACCCTGAGATCATGACCTGAGCCGAAGGCAGCGGCCCAACCCACTGAGCCACCCAGGCGCCCCAAGAGCCTTATATTTCTACCATAATCATCTGTTCTTGGCAAAAATGTGTTCTACAAGCTTTCAGCTGAGGATAATATTTTTGAACAATTTTTTCAATGTTCTAGTTATGGGATTATGGGAATTTGCAACTCACTATTAATTTGCCCTTGGGTTTTGTATTCGTATATCTCAAAATACCCCCTTTTTTAAAATAATACAGTTCAACTTGAAATAAAACTATACATTTCAGTGTGAGAGATATTTTATTACTTAAATACTGGTGATTTCATTGAAAGATAATGTAGTCAGATACAAGAAGAATTTATAAGGAGAAAATGAGCCACTGTTTCCCGCCCCCCTCACTGCTGTTTCCTTTGTGACTTCATGCCATTTGCTTTGTTTGCTTAACAGTTTATATAATTCTTTAGGTACAAAATGAGCTCTCGGTTTAATGATTTTTTAATCCAAAAACTGGTAATTGCTTTATTGACTAACTAGCATTCCCACTCTAAAATCTGACCTCTAGATATATCAATATTTTAGCCATATTTTCATACTTAAAGCTTTCTCACAGCCCAACTTTTAAATTTTTCTACCTTAATTTATTTCAGCATTCACCCTGCTGCTGTAGTTGTATGTGAGTAAGAGTGATCTATTCCTCATCCCTCCCTGTACAAGTGTGGGAAAACCTGGGCAGGGGAAGGTGGCCCATATTGCCCCCGGCAAGAGGCCAGAAGTGTGGACCTTCTTGCTTGCCCACGCTGGTTTGAGACTTGGCGTAGTTTCCCTAAAATGTTCATGGAAGACTTATGAGAGATAATGAGTTAACATTTGCGGAGATCTTTCAATAAACTATAATTGATGTTTGAATTTTTATAAACCAAACACAGTATCTACCCTTGAAAGCTTCATAAGAATATTTAGCACACATGTACGTGCCAGATGGATTGTAATGAGAGTTGATAGGCCTCTCCTAGCCCTTGCGTTCTGTTGTCAAAAATCTGCACATCAAAACAACTATAATTTTTACAATATGATTTATTGGCTAAAAGATCTGGGTGCACATTGAAAAATCTACTGTCTAGATAAGACTATAAATTAATGTTATATAAGATAAGACTTTAAATTAAGGGTTTATGTAAGAATATTCCTATCATGCCTTGTAGAAATATAGGCAGGTAAATTTCTTGATCTGACATCTTTCTCTACATAAGTGAATTTTTATGAAAAATATGTGGATTATGATGCAAGACACTCAGAAATTATTCTCAAGGATATGTGGAGATCAAAGCAGAAACACATCATAATATGGCAAATAGTTATCACCCGGAAGAATACTCTTGTGGTTGAGATAATGCTAACAAAACAGCCTAAAACAGAAAATTAAGTTAGTGAATAAAATTATTATTGTAAAGTATTGTAACATTCTTTGTAGTATTATTTTAAGAACCCCCCCCAGTTACTTATTCTGGGTAAAAATGATGGCATAGATCCATGGTAGGGGGACAGGTGGCCCCACCAATTATAAATTCCCCAAGATTGTAAATGTATATATTATCCTCTTGTGTCAAAATATTCATTTTTAATATTCAAACATTATACCACATAATAAGCTGTAACCATATGTTTATTTGTTATATTATACCGCTATAACATTAATAAATATTTACAGAGCTGCCGTGTATCATAGATGTATTAGAAATGGTAGCTCTCTTAGTTTGATTTTAAGTGAAAATCTTCCATGCCTCAGAAACTAATTTTAAATGTTACATTTGTTACACATTGATAAGAGCCAAGGAGTTTAAATTGTTAAGACTGACACCCCCTTTTTAACTCATGTTGTTTTATTTATTTTCCCCAATTGCATGAGTTAAAGATGGAGTGTTATCTCGGCTTTTGCTTTATTTGTACGTGAATTCTGTCTTTAATAAAGATGAGCTCTGCTGAGCTTTCCATTAATGAGAGACACATAGGTACCCAGCCCTTTATAAACGGTGGTAGTACCAAGAAAAATCAGAAATGTTGCTAGTCTATTAATAATTGACATGGCAAGCCGTGTGACTAATCAGAAGTTTTATGATCTCTAAAAGATAACATTATCTCTGTAAATCAGATGGTGTACAATTAACTTGACAACCATCAGTTAAAGGGGAGAAAAAGACAAAAAAAAAGGGAAAGTAAAACTCAGGACTCCTGACTCATACTTTTTCTGTTACATTGTTACACTCGTGTTTATTCTTCTGTGACAGCTGAGACTAGACCAGTCCTATGTTCAGGAGACAGGAGGTTCAGGAAAAGGCACTGACTTTTTACTTTCATGTGTCAGCAGACAGTCTCAGGGTGATCCTACTCAGCTGGAAGCAGAAGGAACTTTTGCTACTTTGGTAGTTATTGACTTGGTTGCCTATTTTCAGTGTTCTTTGGCTTCCTTGCTCAGCTTACGGAAAGTTAAGCTCAGCCATTTTGACTTTTCTTTCAGCCTGTGTTTAGGCAGATAGCTCCTCAGTATTACCAATCTCGATACAGATTTTCCCAAGTACAGACTTCTAACCAGACTGGACAAAGGCGATTCTCGTTATGATCACAGTGTCTGGATGTTCTTAATGGGTGCTTTGCAAGAATATCACCTGGGTTCTCTTACGGCCTTTTGCTGTCACGCGCACATCAAAAGGGGTGCCAGGACACCAGGAGCACCAACCATCATGTTAAACTCAAACTAGAGATCTGTTTCCATTTCTGCTTTTGTCACAGTCGCAAATTCCGAAATCATTGTGTAACGCCCTGACTTCTAACTTTCCTGTGGGAATATGGTGTTGCAATTTGCCACCTTACTTGTATTCTTCTGTAAGTGTCTGTTGTTAGATATTTGAAGCACATATGACTTTCGTACCATGAAATTTCAGCCCTTGTACCGTCTTTGTTCATTGACTGAATTTTGTTGTAAAGGGAATATTGCCCTTTTATTTTTTTGTAACTAGTAATGGGTACGCTATTGAAATCACTCCTGGGGGGTTTTCTCTGTGGTTCCTTTACCCTAATGTAAAAAAACCATATGTAATAACAACCTGAAATACTGGACAGCTTGAACTTCTCTAACACCCCTGAATGTCTCTTACAGCCTCTGTCTAGGTTTGAACTTTCCAAATTATGTATTTCAGACGTTGAGAAAGAAGGGCCTTAATGGCTGTGACAGCCCAGATCCCGATGCAGACGATTCAGTAGGTCACAGCCCTGAGTCTGAGGACAAGTACAGGAAAATTAACGAAGATATTGATCTAATGATCAGCAGGCAAAGATTGTGTGTAAGTACTCGGAACACCCTTCATTTTTTTTACTCTTGATATTTCTCTGAACCTGGCAGGCCTTGAACAAGAAAGAAAACAAAGGCTGTGAAAGCCCCGATCCCGACTCCTCTTATGCACTCACCCCACGCACTGAAGAAAAATACAAAAAAATTAATGAAGAATTTGATAATATGATCAAGAGTCATAAAATTCCTGTAAGTACCGAAGGTAGATGGCTGGTCCGCTGATAACCTGCTGCAGTAACATCCCTTAACCCTTTCAGTGATGACTTTCTCTACAAAGCCCTAGAAAGTCAAACCGATAAAATAGCCATCTCATCCCACGGGCAGTGCGTTTAGAAAGCAAACCCTAAGGGGTGCTGAACTTAGGTAATCTAAGAGTTGCCTCAAGAAGTTCATTCGGAGGCAGAAGGTATACAGGCAGAAGAGACACACCCTGAATTTACACCAACTTTAAACACACGGTTCACACAAATCACATGCACTGGTAAAAGGCTGGACTCTCCTGAATGAGCCGGAGGATTTACTGTAGCATATACACATATCCGTCCTGAGCCCGGGTACGTGAGTAGAACCGCAGTTCTCTCACAATCGTCATCCAAAGGGAAGCTTGTTTCTGAATAAAGCTTCCGCCCCTCTCCCTACACATGACATCCAACAGCAGCACTGAAGGGTTAAAGCTAATGCTCGCTGCAGGGATACAGACTGCATGAAAACCGAATGGTAAGATTTCAACGTGTCTGTGTGCTGGGGTGACTTTAAAGCTTTATCAGAAGATTCGCTTTGCCTACACCAACGTTTCCCATGCTTTAACATTTGGCTAAGTTTTTGTCTTAACCAAGTCAAAGGATGTCTAACAATCAATCACATGCCTTGCCAGATATTTAAGAGAAATAACTCCGCATGTATTATTTTGTTTGCCCACATAGAGAGGGGGAAAGTACATACCTTTTTTTATACTCTGTCATCAGTCAAGTGATGTTAATTTTGTGACATCGAGTGATGCACCTTGGAGGTTCACGTGCTTTCTGAATAACTAATGTTAGAGTCTGAAACCCTCATTGTGTACCAGCTCTTCAGGAGGTAATTAATTCCTTTCTCAAAAAAGAACATTTTTCGTAAGTTAGCAAAACACCCTCAACTCTGCAGTGAAAATATGCCTCAGCAATTACAAGCGCAGATATTTGGGGACAAGAGCTCTAGGCCGCGTCCACATTTGCACTCACGAGATAAATTAATGCCCTACACGTAGGAAGTGCACAACCAACCTGTGTTGAATTAAATCGAACACTTTAAAACTCATTTATATAAAAAAATAAAATAAAACTCATTAATAAAATGTATGAATAGTAAACTTTCTACCCTCATAAATACGTCTGCTTCTTTTGTTAAATGAAATAATGTCAGCAATAGAGCTTTTGTGGAATCAGAATTACTAATACCCAGTATTCGTGTATGAGCCCCTTCGCTAAGTGGCTCAAATTCTTAAAGGTTCCATAAAACCAAGTACTACCTACAACACATCCACAGTGGGCACTTGATCAAAAATACAACATTTCCTATCAGACACAGTGATGCATACATCGCTATGCATACGGAATTCTTAAACGATAAAATGCCCATTGAGATTTTATCTTGCCCAGAAGAAGGAACCCCTTGCCCAAAGAAACCTCTCCTTTGGGCCAATTTTTAATTCTTACGGGCTGAGTTTCACTTACTATAGAATACACTGGTTTAGAGCCGCTGGGCATAAATGTTTGTGAAGATGAGACTGTAGGTGTCTCAAACAGAAGGAATCCCCTGTCCAGTTAAGGAAGGGCAGTATATACAATACTGCAGATCACGCTCCGTGGCCGTGATCCTAAATGCGTGTGAAGCTTTAACCCCCGGAGGCTCTGGGAGAATGCCCGTATTTGCACACTGGATCTTTTTCCCATGCTTTAGGAGAAGGAGGTGTGATGTATAACCTGGACTCCCTTACAGTATTTCATCCTGTCCTGCAAAGAGTTCAAAATCAGGATACATGATTTCTTAAGAGGTGCAGTGGTGTGTGGCGGTGGATGAAAAACCACATGAGAGTTTATAGGGCGGGCTGTGAGGACTACACAGCTCCTAGCTGTGCCTCTGAGTCTTCGTCTCTGCAGTAAGTGCTTCAGGCTCCACGATGAAAAGCCCAGTTTTCGCACATCGCTTTCAGTTGCTGGAAGTAAATTTTGTTGAAAGTTTCCACAGCTGCTAAAACATTTGCAGCAGGGCAAGGACACTCTGCCCTTTGTATGTAGAGAGTGTCTCCACCTCTTTAAAAACATTACAAGACTGTTTTTCTAATTCAGAGACCCAGTTTGAAGAGTTTCCCTTTTAAAATAGAAAATTTAATATTGCAATCACCTGTTACGATTTAATTTATGCCCATATTCCTCAATTACATGAAATAATTCATGGATGATTTGGAATCTTGTTGACCAGCATTTCCTCATGTGGGGTTTGCCACGGTTCATGCTGGGCCTCACAGCAAGAAAAAAAACAGTTCCATTTGAGGAACCAGGAATTAGGAAATGGGCTGAGGGAAGGAGGCGTGGTTGCAAGACCGGTTGAAAGTGAACGGGAAGGGAGGAAGTGGAAATAGTATGTGTTTTCTTCAAATAACAGCCTGTGAGGAGAGAGAAATACTGCTGTACCTAGAATCAAGGAAAGAGTTAAAAGGAAAAGCTCTGGAGATTATTTATCTACTGAGGAGGAATGCTTGCAGGAAAGAAAAGATCAAAGGCACTGGTGAAATGGTGCCACAATGGTGAGCTACTCAAGGAAGGGAAGGAGGTGGGGGCCAGAGCAGGACAGAGTTGTAGGTAGACCCATGACCTAGTTAAGACGGTAGAAGTTACATATGTGACCACCTAGTGATTTCTGTGTTTCATATTGAACTTAGCTTCTATAGGTATTAAGGTGAGGAAGTAGGTGCTGGAGAGAGGACCAAGAATGATGAAGGTGTAGCCATTGTGAGAAATTGGGGATGAGAAAGGAAAGAGTGAGTACAGGCCAGGGTTGTCAGACAACCTTGAGGAAATTTGGATATCAGTGATTGGAGTTGTGTGATTTCTTTTCTCTGTCAGTTCTTAGCAGCCTGGTGATGGTTGATTGAAAGGGAGTATCATTAGTGGCTCAAAAAGGGGATTCAGTTCAGTCATTCACATTAAATGAAAGAGGGCCTATTAACTAAAAATATTTTATTAAAAATATTTTATTTAACTTTTTATTGGACTTTTCCTTGTGGTAAGTTTGGGAAAATCGTGGGTTTTGGGTAAGAGTTCAGATACCTTTCTGACCACAATGACTCACTTCAGTAACCATGATCAGTTTGTTCAAGGATAGACACTAAAAGCTTTTTAGCTCTCTTGCCTGTGTATCGTAAAGCAGGGCTGGCATTGTGGGCATGTGACCTGTGCAGTTACACAGGGCCCTGCTCTTGTAGGCTGGGCCATCGCCATCTTGAAATTCTTCATAATTTTTTTTAAGGTTTTCTTCATTTATTTGACAGAGAGAGAGATAGTAAGAGCAGGAACACAAGCAGGGGTAGTGGGAGAGGGAGAAGCAGGTCTCCCGCGAGGCAGGGAGCCCTATGAGGGGGCTCCATCCCAGGACCCTGGGATCATGACCTGAGCCGAAGGCAGACACTTACCAACTGAGCCACCCAGGCACCCCTCTTCATAATTTTTTAACAGGGGCCACACATTTTCATTTTAGCCTGGGCCCTGAAAATTACATAGTAGTCCTGCCTACAGCATTTTATTCAGTCACCCCAAATTCCCTCTTCCTACCTGTCTTGAGTGTTCTAAAATTTGGAGCCCAGCCCTGAGATATATGCAAGTCGGGAGCTCTTAACTACTACTCTCTGGCTTCCAATTTTTAGACAAAAGTTTTTTAAAAAGATGCTTTTAAGTTCCCTAATTTTTAAAAATCAAGAAGAAAACAATGCTAAATTCCTCTAAACATTTATGCACTTTTGTAGCCTTTGCATTCCCTAAAATGTTTAGAGCTGGTTAATCTCTTTATGTTTGCAAACAGCTCATGTCTCATATCAGGTCAAGGGACATTAAATGACTTGCCTGTTTAAATGGCAATTTATTGCACAACAGGATTGCAACTGAGATTTCTGATATAAAGCCTGTTGTTCTTTCTGAGTCTCTGAGCTGTCTCCTCAGTGTGGTCATTTTTAAGCTTATAATTCGACTTTAAACTTATTTAGCCAGTTCTTAATACAGTTAAAGAAACAAAACAAAAGATAGAATGCAAAAGATGTTAGCATATTTTATAAATGTGATTTTTTTAATATGCTTTGGTATCAGAGTTATATCTAACTGCTATTTAACCAATCACAAGAGAATTTCATACTTACCAAATTGTTTACAGCCCAGAATGCTAGAAACTGAATAATTCCTTGGGATGATGGTCAGAGGAAGAGAGGAGTAGAGAGATTTTCACTGAACCAGTTATTAGGGTGGTCCAGATTTTATGAAATCATTTTTGATAATTTTTCTTACTTTGGATGTGTGTGCAGTCAGAGGAAATGGGCTTTGCTGTCTACATAGACACAATCAACACTCCGTAGAATATTCAGGGGAGAAATAGTTTTATAGCAGATCCTTAAGTATTCAATCATAGTTAAACATTTATAAGTAGTAATAGTGAGTACAGATAAAAACACTTGTAGCTAAAAGATAGCTTTAAAATACCAAACCTGAGTAAATATGGAAGAAAGGGGTCTTGAAGGCTTATTTTTTCCCGAGACCTCAGTCACATCCTGACAGTTATGAGCAGAGAGCTCCCTCTAACATGGTTCCTCAGCTACATGTCACGAGAACCCTTTTAGTTCATTATTCTCATGGTTCACAATAATAAGCGGCTAACATGAAGCCCATACTCACTTCACAGTATGATTTCTGACTGCAGTATTTTATTTCTGTCCAAAAACTTATACTGTGTTACACAGTGATTTAATGGAAAAAGCAACAGGCTCAGTCACTTCCTAGTTAGATGACCTTGGGGCACTTAATCTCACAGATTTAAAAAGGAAAGGATTATATCCATAGTGAAGGGATGTTGAAAGGGTTGGATCACATAATGTGTGTGAATTATATAATGTGGTGCCTGCTCAGTAAATAATATACAGTAAATTGTAAGCTTGTATTTTCATATTAGTACAGTGTCTTCCTAAAACTTCTTTGATGAAAAATATTCAATTCATATGATAAAAATTAGACAAAGTGCTGCATTTCCTGACAACAAAAGAGCTCTAGCAGCTTGAAGAAAGGGAACATTATTTGGCCAACATCATAAGTGATGTTACAAAGGAAAAAAAAGCAAGAGAAAGAGATCAGGAGAAGGATGAGGGTAGGACAAGCTGCACAATTAAATAAGGTAGACAGGGTGGGCTTCCTTGAGAAAGCCAGATTTTAAGCAGAAAATTGAAGGAAGTGCTGGAGTTAGCCGTGGAAATGAGGCAAGAATGAGTGAGTGAGGAAGAGGACAGTAGGAAATCAGATCACGAAGCCTGGTGAAAGCTGGGATTTATGGGGTCTTATGGAACATTGGAAGAAGTTGGGCTTTTCTCTGAGTAAGGCCGGAGCTTCTCACAGGGTTTGGAATAGAGGGGTGTCATCATCTGATCTGTGCTTTTAAAGGATCAATTTGATTGCTAAATCAAAAATAAAAAGAAGGAGGGCAAGGATAGAAGCAGGCAACTTGTGGGAGGTGACTGCAGTTATCAAGGCAAGAGGTGATGGTGCTGGAACCAGAGTGGTAGCCATTAGAATGAGAGATGTTTGGAGAGTGAATATATATGGAAGTTAAGCCAATAGGATTTCTGGGTAGACTAGATGTGTGGGAGACAGTGAAGATTCTTCAAGGGGAACTCCCAAGGATTTTATTCTATGCCATTGAAAGCATTGTCATCAGTTGGAGATGAAGAAAGGTATGAGTGGAGCTAGATTGGAGTTGATTTGGAGATGTCTATTAGACATTCAAGTAGAAATATTGAGATTGCTGTTGGATATGCAAGGCTGAGTAAGGAGAGAGATCTGAGCCACAGATAAAGAACCATGCTACTTTTAAATTCAAACATTAGGGAGCAATGAGAACCGGCAACAAAAGCTGAAAAGGAGCAGCCATCGAGGTAGGAGGGAGAGTCCAGAGTTTTGAAAGGGAAGAAAGTTTATCAAGAAGGAGTGACTGCTGTGTCCAAGTTAAGGATTGAGGAGTTCCCATTGGATTTCTTAACCCGAAGGTTAATAGTGACCATGACAAGAGGATTTTCAGTGAATGGTTGGAGGAACACTTTTTAATGGAATGAGTTGAAAGAAAACAGTATGCTATGTTTACAACCCAAATTACAAAAGCAGAATTGCCATTGGTGATATGATTGTCCAAGATGGTGAACAATTTTTAATGAAGTTCCTTACATAGGAAAGTAGAATATTCCCTCAATGCACAGTAATAGCACTTCTGGAAATTTCAGTATGTAATAAAATCCATGTTTCAATGTATGAAAATACCTTGTGTTTGTAGAACAAAGTTAGTTCTGACTCACATCATTATAAATGGGTTTTTTCACACAGACGAATTGTCCAGTGGGGGCTTTTCAAAGTTGAATAGGATAGAAGATGATTCTTTGTTGTGTTGAACTGTCCCACATATGACAGGGTATGTAGAACACCTGCCTACCTACCCAGAAAATACCAGCCACACCCCCAATTATTGTGACACCCCAAAACTGTTCCACAGATTTCCAAAGTGTTCCCTAGGGAGGGAGTTCACCCCTGTAGAGTACCACTATTCTAGATCTAGAGAGTCGCTATAATGGCTTTGGAGAGAAACATGGTCATTGAAGGGAGTTTATTTAGCAGAAGGACTGTTGGTAGATGGGTAGAGTTCAGTGAAACCCAAAGGAATGGTGAAGTATATTACACCTTGCAACCTGGAAGCTGTTACCAGCTTTTAACCAGGCTTAAAGGAGCAAGAGGACACAAAAGATACCAGCGGCACAGCAAGATCTGAGAATATAGAAGACATGACACCAAAAGAGGCGTGACCTTCATGAGCGGAATGCAGCTTCTGCCAACCTGTGGCTCCCCAGGGAGGATACTATAGTAGCCAAATACCCTGACTTCTCTCCTACTCTCTGTACTTCTGCCGGTGCCTCCCCTGGCCCAGCTGAAGCCAGAGGGCAGGAGGAGCCAGGTGGATACAGCCTGGAGACTCAGCCAGCTGGGCCCAGAGCAATGAAGAGGTTGGAGAGCGGATCTGGAGAGGCAAATAGAACCTCCCACAGTTGTTTACCTTTGTTTTCTTAGGTATTCTAAGTAATTCTTATTTGGCCTTTTACTACAATGCAATATTTCATTCAGTCTACAGACATTTATTTTACAACATACACTAATATTTTTTGTTGTTTAAAAGGCTCTGAAAATTTGAGACTCTGGAAATTCATTCTTTGAGGTCTTATCCAACATTTATGTTTCATTGTATCATGATGTTGATCCAAAGTTATTGTTTGTTACTCTGCTTAAAATAGATAAAGTCTTAATAAAGACTGACTGTTTTAATAAAGCACTTTAGGATTTTTATTTTGCTATAGAACAGTGAGGAATCAAAGACATTTGTAAGAGAGTTATGAAATATTTGCTTCTGTATGTATCAATATGTCCAGATCATGGAAGAAAAGAAAATAGGAAAAATAAAGAGTAAGAGAACATAAGCCTAAATAGAGAGTAATATTGAAATCACCACCAGGATAAAGAGCTTTTGCAGAGCATGACATAGGATACAGGCTAGTCAATCAACCAGGAAAGGAAAGTTGATGTTAAGATCACTGAAGGAAAAAAAAAAAAAAAGATTAAAATAAAAATGAAAACCTTTGAGTCACATGCACATAGGCATTTAAACTTACACTCTGGCTTATCTGAAATCCTGAGGGAATGTTCTGTATAAACCCCGTCTCTAACAGATCTATTAGATACATACATACACACACACATATGTATCAGTTTTATAGTAAGAATGCTGTATGTTCTGACACCATAAGTCCTCTGGCAATATGTGCAAGCAGTATTTTCATTAATAATGTTAAAACATTTTTTTAAAAGGGGGGGAGTTGTAAGTATGATTGGTTAGTACAAGCAGAGAAATAAGCATGATTTTGCTTAAATTGCTAAAATAATACCAAAATATCAATAATTGGTACCTAATTACTCTAATGAGGTACCCACACGACTTCATTTCACTAAATATTTGCCAGCTTTCTCCTTTGAGACAGAAGTCTTGCCATTTGTCAGTGTCCTGTATCCCCCAAATGTAAAGTGTAGCCTATATTCTGAACTATCATTTTAAAATATGAACTATTGAATGATACATGCTCTGTTGAATTCTGTATCTTAAAATGTCTATTATCTTTAGCATTACTCTCAAAAGACAGACTTTTAAAAATAATAATTAAAGTACAGGTGCTATTCACATGCTTGGAGATGATTTTATATCATTAAACTTCTGCATAAATATGCTTCAATAAGCAATTAAACTGAAGACTGTGGTTTGCATTTTAATCCTCCTCTTTCTCTGTGAAGTCATCACAATCATGTACCTTTGATCTTGCAGTCATTTCTGGCACCAGATTCAGACATCACAAATGAACAATTATTACTTAATAGAATGGAATTCGAAGACAATGGAGTCTAATGAAATGGGGCTTTGTTTTAAACAAAAGTGAAACGTTTTCTAATAGTTGCGAAGGAAGAGTTCTAAGCACATTAAAGAAATCAATTTATGATCTGAACATCTTGAGAGCTCTCCTTAATGGTCTTCTAGACACCAAGCAGCTTGGAATTTGAAATTTTTCTTGGAAAACTAAAGGCTGTCTGTACGTGAGGACTTCTGTTTCTTTTCTTTCCTTTTACCCACGTTTTTCTCTGCTCCTACAGGCTGTTCCACCTCCCAACTTTGAGATGCCAGTCTCCATCCCAGTGTCCAGCCACAACAGTTTGGTATACAGCAACCCCGTCAGCTCACTGGGAAACCCCAACCTTTTGCCACTGGCCCACCCTTCTCTGCAGAGAAACAGTATGTCTCCTGGTGTAACACATCGACCTCCAAGTGCAGGTAACACAGGTATGTATGTCCTCATATACATGCAATGTTAACAAATTGGGAAGGAGCCACTCTTGGCACAAAGGGTATTTTATCACCAAGATGTAGACTTTTCCAGGTTTCCATTTGTTATGTTTCCTCGTTGCTTAAGATCCACCTTCTTTTTGGTCTTCAACCCCATCAGCCTGATTTTGAAATCTCTCATAATCTGCTATTTTTCTGTTTAGACTCCCACCCATCTCTCATGTGGCTATATTTCAACAGCATAATTTCTCAAACAAAAAGTCAAACATCCTTGGAGAAAGAAAGTCTTCATTTTTTTGCTACTACTCTCCTCCTGCCTAAGATGCCATTTTCCCTCTTCCTCTTAGCCAGATTATCACCTTTTCCGTGAAATCTTCCCCTGTGTCCTCTGATCGCATTTGTGCCATTTAGTTATTTCTTAGTGTGGTCAGTTTTTATTTATTTATACAGAAACTTATACCACAGAGGACTGAAAGCAGAAAAGAAATGTAATAAAATAGTGTAACTTAAGAAGTGTGAAATAAAAACAAAACTTAGAAATGAAATTAAGAGGACGTCATAAGAACATATATACCTGCCACAAATTAGTCTCAATATTTCTAAGAAATCCCCACTGTTGTACAATTCGCAGTGTCCCAGAGAAAAGAAATTATTGCTCAGGAAAAGTTCAACCATTCTTCATACTCAGATCAAGCAAAATACAGTATATGATGTGCTATGTTGAATTTGTGTCTATTTCCCCACTGGATTTAAAGAATCTTGGAGGGAAGACAGTCCTCCTGGATTGCCAACTTCCAACTTCACAGTTGGAACTAAATAAATGTATACTGACTATAACCAAACAATCCCCTTATATCTCCAAAAGAAGCACCAAAAATAATTATATTTCTAAATCATATATAGAAAAGCATTGTATATTACATTTTACTTTTTTAAAAAGCACTCCATAGGAAATTTTTAGTATGTCTTAGGCACACATAACTATATTAAAGGCAATTTATTCACAAAAGAATTTTTCCTTGAGAATACTTTAATTTCTGCCTTATAATTAAAACTAAACATGTGGGGTGCCTTGGTGGCTCAGTCATTATGCATTTGCCTTCAGCTCAGGTCATGATCCTAGTGTCCTGGGATTGAGCCCTGCATCAGGCTCTCTGCTCAATGGGAAGCCTGCTTCTCCCTTTCCCAATCTCCCTGCTTATGTTTCCTCTTTCACTGTGTCTCTCTCTGTCAAATAAATAAAATCTTAAAAAAAAAAACACTAAACTAAACTAAACCTGTATTCCTATTTAGTACAGAAACTTCATATAGAAAATATAATCAAAATCAACCAAATGGTAAAATCTTGATAAATCTTGAGTCTGAGAGATGTGTATAAAGGATGCCATTATGCCATTCTCTCTACTTTTGAATATGACTGAAATTTTTCATAAGAATTTTCAATAACCATATGTTATTCCTTTCAGATCACACTCAAATGCAGTTGAATTCCCTGCTTGATAAATTCATGCTTGTTTATTTTTAAAAATCTCATACTTTATCTCCAAAATATTATTTGATTGGAAAATACAAACATTTCTTTAAAAGTAATGAACAGGGGCACCTGGGTGGCTCAGTCATTAGGCGTCTGCCTTCGGCTCAGGTCATGATCCGGGGGTCCTGGGATCGAGCACCTCATCGGGCTCCCTGCTTGGCAGGAGGCCTGCTTCTCCCTCTCCCTCTGCTTGTGCTCCCTCTCTTGCTGTTGTCTCTCTCTGTCAAATAAATAAATAAAATCTTTTAAAAAAAAAATAAAAGTAGTGAATATGTTCTTCAAATTCCAAAACCAGAACCAACTAATAATTATAGACTATCACTTAGGATCAGTTTGAAAATAATCCAGCCGAGGGGCATCTGGATGGCTCAGTCGGTTAAGCATCTGACTCTTGATTTCAGCTCAGGTCACAGTCTCAGGGTTGTGAGATAGAGCCCCACGTTGGGCTCTGCACTGGGTGCGGGCTTGCTTGAGACTCTCTCTCTCCCTTTCCTTCTGTCCCCTACCTTCCTCTCTAAAGAAAAAGAAAGAAGGGGAGGAAGGAGAAGGAAGGAACAAAGGAAGGAATGAAGGAAGGAACGAAGGGGTGGAGGGAGGGAAAAGAAAATAATCCAGCTGATATTCTATTCTTTTGGCTAAATCTTATTCCTTAAAACTAACAGTAATTATTATACTGAGTATCTTATTGAAATATCCCAGCTGTCATATTTTAACATTGCCAAATTTAAGTTAGCAGAGAATAAACATACCTTTCTAAATTTGTAGCCAATGAAACCTTCTCTGTTGTGTCAGTAAGGAAAATTCAGGTAGTCAATGAGGTCATTCGCTGTGAGTAGATTCATGAAATGACCAAAGTTCTGGACAATTAGCATTTTACAAAATTAATTATATAAAAATATATTTACAAAGAATTAAACATCAAGTGTAAGTTTACTTCAACACACAGTAGACCTTACTCCTTTTTTTTTCCACTTTCTATAAAACATCCAAAAATGAAAATTCAGAGACCATTTAAACACTGGATTTTTTAAATGTAACCTTTCCTAGAACGAAAGATTCTGCAAAATGTCAGTGATTGAATGTAGGCTTAATGTTTGAGCTCAGCATGTCATAATAAAACAAATGTCAGCCATCCAACTTAGGTAATATTTTACAAATTTAGGACCCTTGGGAGAGCCAGAATACTGTGGTTGCTAAAGGTAAAGTGTGCTGTTCTGTGGACCTGTGGCCTTTCCTTCTTCTGATCTTTCTCTTTAATCCATAGGTGGTCTGATGGGTGGAGACCTCACATCCGGTGCAGGCACCAGTGCAGGTGAGCGGGGATTTCTGGGCCACAGCATGGATCATTGTTCAGGGTTCCTTTGCTGGGCGATTTGCAGGAAGTAAGTCTTTTGAACTAAGTAGGGAGATGTGTGAGCTGTATGGAAAAATGGCCCCCGGAACTTCTCAAGCATTTTTATGAAGCAGGAATGGATGGATAGTAACTTAGAAGAAGACTATTACCTAGAACTTTTCTTAATCAAACTTCAGCTAGTCCACATAACCAGAAGTGAAGGCTCTGATCAAACCCATTTAATCCTAGATACAATCTCTGGACATAAAAGTACCTTTAGCAAGACTTACCAATTGAGTTCTCTGTGAATCATTTCACATTAAATGTGAATCTCTCTCCACCCAAAGAAGTACCAAACTCCTGGTAGAATGCATGTTTAAAAGGAGGGGGTATACCTCTGAAATGAATCATACCTTACGTGTTAACTAATTGAATTTTAATTAAAAATAAATAAATAAGTAAGAAAATAGTAAATAAGTTAAAAGCTGGCAGGGAGGGGCACCTGGGTGGCTCAGCAGGTTAACATCTGCCTTTGGCGCAGGTCATGATTCTCGGGTTCTGGGATCGAGCTCCGCATCGAACCCTGCATTGGGTGCTTTGCTTACCCTCGAGTCTGTTTCTCCCTCTGCCGCTGACCCTCCCTCTTGCTCTTGCTCTCGCTCACTCTCTTGCTCACTTGCTTTCTCTCTCTCACAAATGAATAAATTTTTTAAAATTTAAAAAATCTTTAAAAACTTTTTAAAATTAAAAAAATAAGGAGGGAGTGAGAGTATAACCATTCAACAATATTGTTAATAAAATAAAGCCAATTTTGACATTAAAATTAGCTCTTAGAGAATATGAATATGGTGTGCTTCCAAAAAGCCGTTTAAATATATTTTAAGTCTTGCGGCGCCTGGGTGGCTCAGTGGGTTAAGCCTCTGCCTTTGGCTCAGGTCGTGATCTCAGGGTCCTGGGATCGAGCCCCGCATCAGGCTCTCTGCTCAGCGGGGAGCCTGCTTCCCCCTACCCCTCTACCCGCCTCTCTGCTACTTATGATTCTCTCTCTCTCTCTGTCAAATAAATTAAAATCTTTAAATATATATATATATGTATGTATGTATGCATATAAACTCTTAAGGATTTCTTCCACTATGTCCAATCATGTTATAGGCATATGGAACCCCAGGGTTCCATATTAATTCGTATTATTGTGATTATTGAGATATTGATGTCATTTTCAGAGCAGATGTAAGACAGCACAGTAGTTTTTAATGCAAACCACAGTTCACTATTGGCTTAACAAGTAACCATGGTAATTCCTGCAGCTGGAACATGATATACATTTAAAATAGTAGGAGACAGGCATGAATGACACAAGGTTATGTTTGAAATGTCAAAAAAAAAAATTCAAGCTTATTAAAATATCCATGGACAACCTAATTAAAATATTTTGCCAAGGTCAAATATAATAGTCTGCTAATTATAAGAAAAGATAAAATCAGCATACAAAAACATTTTTATAAATATATCCATTTGGGGGAAATGTTTCTTCTTCTGATACTGGCTCTTCACTAATTCAGTGAGTAATAAAGAAAAAGAATTTGGACTACACAGTGAATTAACACGCTATCAATGGTACTAGCTTCCTATTTTATCAACCTTTTAAAAATTAGGTAAAGTCAAATTAATGAGTAAACTCAATATACTGTTTTTCTGGGCATTGAAACAAAGTGCTCATTTTTTCCCTCGAAAAATACTTTGAGGCTTGCAGCCTGAAAATTACAAAACCAGATCAAAGCCAGATCAGTGTTGCTCGGATTCAAGTCTCTGCCAAAACTACGGGTAGAGAGAATGGTAGGGACTAAGAACTGGATTGTCACAAAGACCAAGAAAAAGATAACTTTAAAAAATGGTTTTGATGTTATGATATTTTATCCAGTATCTCAGTGCTTTTATAGGAACAGCCAGTAGTGGTGAAAAAAGTTATCAGATGTAGTAAAAAAAAACATATGGGGGGGGGATGGGTTACTCAGCCCTAATGGAAATAGACTCTTGTTTCTGCTTAATAGCTAGAATGCTTTAGGATTCTCTATTGAAAATAAGAAGTGTTTGGTTGTTCAATTATGCTGTCATGGTCAATCTCTGACAGCCCGCTAAGCTTAATGGCCCTCCAGGGACTGAGAAGACAGTCTTGTAAGTGTAAAAGTTAGCCACATATCCGTCTATAGCGTCATCGAACTAAAAAAATCTTACAAGCTTAGCAAATGTATCTTCCTGCATCAGGACCTCTACCACAGACATAAGAACCTCCTACTTCAGGGATGCCTGGGTGGCTCATTGGGTTGAGCCTCTGCCTTCGTCTCAGGTCATGATCTCAGGGTCCAGGGATCGAGCCCCGCATCTGGCTCTCTGCTCGACGGGGAGCCTGCTTCCCCCTTTCTCTCTGCCTGCTTCTCTGCCTTCTTGTGATCTCTCTCTCTGTCAAATAAATAAATAAAATTAAAAAAAAAAAAAACCTTTTACTTCAAAAATAGAAGGAAACAAAAAGAAAGACACTCAGTTGCTCCACCTTGATGATAATAAACATTACATCCAGAGGAATATATCTCATAGCCTTGAGCATATAACTTTTCCAGTGTCTATATATTTGTGAGAGAGTTAGTTCCTTGCTTTTTAAAAATAGAGGAGGAAGCCCTTTCTAACTCTGGCTCCACAGAACACCTGTTGCAGATGCCACTTAGTAGAGGCAAGCTTGGCTGTCAGGTCCTGCTGCAGGCTCAGCCGTCTTCCCCTTCTTTCTCAAACCCGCCAGTATCATGTGTCAAAGCTGAATATATCTATGCTGATGTCAGAGAATCACATAACACCAGGGGAAGCTAGGCCAGCCAGAATGTCTCTGCATTTTCAGAAAAGAAAACTAAGGCAAAATGGCTGAAAGATATCTTCCAAATTTCGAATATTGTCATTGAAATTCAAGGTCTCTGATCAAGTTATAAAGTCTGAGGCCAAGTGCACACAATTACTTTTCAATCTTTTGTATTTTTTTCAAAATCAGATCCTCTCAACCGGTAAAAAGAAAAAGGGGGGGGGGGCGGGTACAACCATGCAGAAAGGAGGTGAATTTAACAATTAGTGTGTACTTATAAATACCAAGAGACCAAAGAGATAAGGATTCTCTTTTTCAGTTCAGCTTAGTGATAAAGTAGAGCAACTTTCCCATCCAGCCCCTGAACTATAGCTCTCCCTCATCCCATCATCCAGTAGATCATTAAGTCTTACCAACTCTGCCTCCAAGGTACTTTTTAAATCCAATCCTTTCTCTCCATTCCCATCCCATTGCCCTGGTTCCGGCTCCTAGCAACGCTCTAGGACTGTTTCCAGAGCCCCCTAATTTGTCTCCCTGCTTTACATTGCATCCCCCTCCAGTCTCCCCATGACTGATTAGCCTTTCTCAAAGGCCCACACTAATTGTAGGTCATCCTTCATGTGCCTTAAGTCCAGACATGGCTTCCTATCTCTCTCAGAATTAGCCAGGAGCCTCTTATCTCTGGCCCAGCCTTCCTCTCTACTCTTAAACCTTCTTTTCTCCCGCTGCCAGCAAGAACCCTGCACTCTAATAACAGCAAACCTTTAAATTGCCCTTACTATGTGCTTTACAAAAAGGAACTCATTTATTCTCATAATGGTTCTTTAAAGTAGATATGCATATTATGCCCTTTCTATAGATGGGGAGACTGAGACCGAGAGAGGTTAATTGCCCAGTGTGGAACCCAGGCAGCCCGGCTCCAGCATACATGCTCTTAACCTCTTCATTGTGCTGCCATTTTGCAAACAGTGTTGAGGCCACTTGCCTTTACACATGCATTCCTAGTGCTCCTTTCCCTTAGCTTCTTCCTGCTCCTGAGCCCTCCTTGTCATCCCTCAGAATTCAGTACAGCCATTCAGGGGGAATTATACATCTCTTCTTTTTTCTCCCATGGAAGCCTGCTCCCACATCACTTATCTCATTGCATTGTTATAGCATTGTCTGGACACACATCTTTCTCCTGGACACTCAACCCTCCAGGGGCGGACTGTTTCTTTCTTACAGGTTATATTCCCAGCTCAAGACATAAGAGAGAGTACATGGCAGATACTCAGTTAATGTTTGTTAGCTGAATAAAGGAAAAATTAATCTACTCGTCATGAATTTTTAATAATGTTGATGTGAGAAAAGAAAGAATACTTCAAAGAAATAATGTAATTTTAAATATAAACAGTAGACCCTCGATCTATAATTCACAAAAATAATATATTCTTTTGATAGTCGTACAAAGAATAGTGAATTATCCAGTTAAATGACTGAGAAACATTGGCCAATAAAGCTTTACTAACTTTTCCAACATACTTAATAGAATCCTGAAGAACTGATACACAGCAGTAAATGAAATGTGGGTTGGTACATCAGGCCATCACACACCACCTCTTAAAACAATAAACCTCTTATCACTTAAATTGAAGCGGTTTCAAAGATGAAGGCAAAAGGTAACAAAGAAGTAACAGGATGAGGTTGTACTCTTGATTTACGGGACATACACAGCAAGTCATTATAAGACATTAGCAGTGGTGACATTTCTAGGTTTCAGTTCACAGTTATTCATCCAGTGCTTAGTCCCTTCCTCTCAACAGCCAAAATTGAAAGTCCCCGCTTTTTAAATCACATTTTGTCATAGCTGTGTAATTAAAGCTTTTAACATGCTAATCTTAGTGGTTATTGATAATTGAAGATCAAGTTCAGGTGGATTTTTGTAATCACTAGACTTAATAGAAATAAAAGGTAGGCACTCTTTTTTTCAGCTCCACTTGATGATAAAGTATAGCATCTTTCCCATCCAGTCTCTGAGCTATGCCTTGTTTTGGATTTTTCACTATCCTATTAGAACCCTTTATTTTCACGTTGATAATGTAGCTGCTTCTTTATTGAGTACAAAGTGCCAGTATGCTCAAGGATTCGTGAC